GCCTGCCCCGCCAGCCCTGAACCTCCCCGAAGGAGGAAGGGCCACCCAACGCCACCACAGGTCGCACAAAACAACCTGAAAGGCCCATGAATCATGAGACCAAGCGTGGGAACAGAGCAACCTTTCCCCCCATTGCCCCGTTAATGGAACAAACTGCGAAAGGGCCGACTCCCCATACGGGAGGATAACCTTCACAGAGCAATCACCATGCCGACCAGATGAAGATGGGAAAGAAAGACTGCGCCAGCCCCGAAACTGGCACCACTGGCCCACCACACCTGGAGAAACCACGAGCCCTGGCACGACCCTTCTGGGAAGACCCTCAATGGGGGCCCCCAGGAGAACCAACAAGTCCGACATGGAACAACAACTAGACGAAGCTGCCTGCAGATATTGCACCATAACAGACTGCAAAAAACAACAACGGGCAAAAAGGCAAAGAAAGCCTAAGAGCCAGGGGGCTCAAATGGATTCCAAAGAAGAAGCAAGCCCTGCATGCCGATATATGAGATGGGAAGCAAAAAACAGCGACACTGCAACCTGCAGGATCTGCGCAAACGGCTTCAAAAGCACAGACGACACACGCACCACCATGGCCAACACACCAGACCCAGGAGCGACCCCAAGCACCTCCACATCCTCCTCAAGCTGAAGCCCTGGGACATGAACACTTGCAGAGGCCTAGCGGAGGACCACCAAATTACAATATGCATGACCAATCTAAAGCAGACCCCCACCAGGCAGAAAGACAAAAAATAAAATAAAATCCTGCAAAAGGACAGCGTACCCAGGCGGAACAGAGCCGACCACTACGAGAGGTGATAACTAGCTGCACAGTACCCTGCGCCCCAACCAGTGACGAAAACTACCCCTTACCCACAGGCAAACAAGGGAACACAGGAACCCCAGCCGACTCCAAGGGCGGTCAATCACCGAGCAGTAAAAGACACAGCGGAGGAAGACCCCAAGGTGACTTGTGGAAGGTGGTCCCAAGCCCCAAGGGTAGTACTTACAGGGCACCCAGGGAAGGTAACCCTAGGTGCATGCAGCCCGAGTACTGAAGAAATATTCTCCTGGCTCGCACTCCCCCAGAGAGACAGCACCACACCACAAGGGCACAGAACTGGAACAATGCTGGAGCCAGAGACACACGACCATTGCCAAGAACATCAGCCGAAGAACTGAAGGGTGGACAGCTGGCGTGAGAGTCTTGGGCTTCCCCTCCCGGGGAGGAGGGGGGTAGGTTGCGCAGCAGCGCAGATATGTCAAGCTAGTTGCTAGTTTTCATTTGGAGAGTTCTGTCCACTAGTTCAGCTTTTGGTAGCAATATTTTAATCAGAATAGGGGGTTGTTTTGTGTTTTGGTGCACTTACCTTTCTGGGTGCCTGACCTGGTCGATGGCAGACATAGAATGCTTCCAACCACACAGGAGTTTCTATAGGCTATTGCTCCTTGTGCCTCTCTGAGGGGGGGGGGGTCAGATTCTCGCTTGTGGTCCCCGGTAGGCCTAAAACTCCATGTACATTGATGCCAAGCTCTAATATATCCATATCAGCCTGGATAGCTCTGGGGAGCCGCAGGGGATCCCCCCCAGAAAATGATTTTATCCTTTTAATGAATTAAAACAAAAAAGCCTGGATCTGTTTTACATTTGTCCTTTACCCTTTTCTGAAGGTTCCTTTCTGCCTCTCTCCTCCCTGTTGTGTTCGCTTCTTGCATGTTTATAGTGCTGGTATGTTTGAGTTAGGCCTCTTCCTATATTGTACTAATTTTCTTGCCTTTACCTCTCTGGTCCTCACAATTTCTGTTGAACCAATCCTGTTTTCTGGCTCTGCATCTCTGTTTTGGTGTAACAAAATTTGTGCCATCATCATATGCTTCACAGAATTTGGCATACATCTAATTTACTTCCTTGTCTAGAAACAATTCTTTAAATTAAATTCATCAGAGAATTTGCTAAATTACCCATTAGTCTCCTCTCTTGAAATCAAGTTTCACAACTATTTCAATTTTCCCATTCTCATCTAAATCATATCGCATTGCATATTTAGTTTCCAACAGGACATGGTCACTCTTTCCCAAGGAAGGTACTGAATGCCATGTCATATCTCTTCTTTCCTGGTGAATATTAAATTCAGTATTGATGGAACATACCCTTCCTTCATTCTTGTGGCCTGCTTGATCTGTTCAAACATGAATGTCTGCAGAATGAGGTTTACAAATCTTTTTTGCTCTCTAGGCCACCCAGTCTATTTCTATTAAGTTTAGGTCCTTCAGTACCAACAATCGTGATTTATCTTTATCTGCTCTTACTATAATCTTTCTCATGGCCATTCTGAGGCCCTATCCTTTTCATCTAGTTCCTTGTTTGTCCATGTGTTGCTTGCTGGTGGGCTGTAGGCATTTATGATTATCAGTTTATAATCCTAATTCAAAACTTGCAATACCATTATGTCAACTTCTCGTGGGTTGTCGATTATTAATTCTCTTACTTTTAGGTGTTCTTTCACCAGCACAGCTACACCTCCACCCTTCCAAGAATTTCTGTCACTTCTCCGAATTAAGTAGCCCCTTGGAAATACGACCTCATTTAAAATATCTTCTTCAACTTTTGTCTCTCTTAGTGCGACAATATCTGGGACCTCAAGCTGAATATCTTTTAGTTACAGTATTTTTTATCTCGCCCCATTTATGTTAGTATATACAATTGTCAGGAACATGTTCCCTCTCCCTTTGTCCTTTAGTTCCTTTTCCTCTAATGATTTTGAGTGTTTGTTTTTATGTTCCAGTTCACAAGCTTTCCAGTCCCTATCACCTGGTAGAAAAAATTAAAGTTCTTCATTTCTATTTCCATTTTGATGTTCTGCTTTACTGAGGTTTAGTTTAGCTTTCCTGTTTTCTCTTTTGGGAGGTCTCATCTTATTAACCAAAGTTTCCCATCCTTATCTTTCCTAAGCACTTCTGACATTTGTTTCACTCCAATAAATGTCACCTTTAAGGGTCGATTCTTGTCTTGCTCATATTTGCCTATCCTCCTAAAATCACTAACTCATATATATATATATATATATATATATATATATATATATATATATATATATATATATATATATATATATATATATACATACACACACACCCACACACATTAGGGGTACCACCTCTGGTGCAATTGCAGGGACCCACATCCTCGAAGAAGAAAACAAAGAGCATTCAGAGAAGATCTTGTGGATTCTTATTGTACCTCGTAGCCAGAACGCAATATTAGGCCTACTATGCAATGCCCGATTTGCCTAATAAGCCAAGTTTTCCAGAATTTATATAATTTTCTAATTTTTTTCTTATGAAATGATAAAGCTATCCATTTCACTATGCATGAGTTAATTTTGTTTAATTTGAGTTAAAACTAACATAGATATATGACCGAACCTAACCAACCCTACCTAACCTAACCTAACCTCTCTTAACCTAACCTAAATTAACACAATTAAGTCAATAATTTATGTTCTTAATATAATATAATAATAATAATTCAAATAAACTAATTGGAAAGAATTTATTGAAAATAAAGAAAATCACTCGGCCTATTAAGCAAATTGGGCCTTGCTTAGTAGGCCGAGAAGTGCGTTCTGGCTACTAAGTACGACATATTATATATATATATATATATATATACCAACCAACCAACTGTATTGGAGGGGATCTAAACATTCCCTCTAATGCGTTATGCGTGGTTTCCTCCGAGGCTATGGGTCCCCCTTCTTCCAGCTAGAGGTGGTACTCCCTTCCTTATATTTATTTATATATATATATATATATATATATATATATATATATATATATATATATATATATATATATATATATATATATATATATATATATATATATATATATATATATATAATATATATATATATATATATATATATATATATATATATATATATATATATATATATATATATATATATATATATATATATATATATATATATATATATATATATATATATATATATATATATATATATATATATATATATATATATATATATATATATATATATATATATATATATATATGTCGTACCTAGTAGCCAGAACGCACTTCTCTGCCTACTATGCAAGGCCCAATTTGCCTAATAAGCTAAGTTTTCATGAATTAATTATTTTTCAACTACCTAACCTACCTAACCTAACCTAACCTAACTTTTTCGGCTACCTAACCTAACCTATAAAGATAGGTTAGGTTAGGTTAGGTAGGGTTGGTTAGGTTCGGTCATATATCTACGTTAATTTTAAATCCAATTAAAAAAAATTGACCTGATACATAATGAATTGGGTAGCTTTATCATTTCATAAGAAAAAAATTAGAGAAAATATATTATTTCAGGAAAACTTGGCTTATTAGGCAAATCGGGCCTTGCATAGTAGGCTGAGAAGTGCGTTCTGGCTACTAGGTACGACATACATATATATATATATATATATATACACACACACACACACACACTGGGACCCTGTTTTCATGCATAGTGTTCCCCAGGAGAGTTCTCAAATGCCTGGTCAATTAACACGGATCCCCAGGAGAGTACTCCAGCACCCCGGGATACTATCCTGGTTCTCCAGGTGAGTACCCTGGATACTAGCCTTTATGTTTATGTATTGCATTGCAATGAAACCACAATGGTGTGATATATCAATGAAAATAATTTTCTGTGTACATGTATGTGGATGTGTGGATGAGTTTGTGGGCACGTGTATGTGCAACATAATATGTATACATTTTGAAAAATTATTATTATGTACTGTATCATACCTAGTGGCAAAATATTTGAATTAAATACTTCAGTTCTACATAAAATTAAATGGAAAATAAAGTTTAGGAATAAGTAATGCACTCCATAGTAAAGGACAGAGGGTGATCATAAGTGTTAGCAAAAGAAGTTCCAAACTTTAGTAATTCCAAGGGAAAGCCCTTGTATTTTTTAGCTTACCACTCTCACGTTATCTGTATTTCTTATCCCAGCCTGTAATTAGACAAAACATATGTTCACCTCATGACTTCTTTGCTCCACTACTATTTACAGTTTAAATCATAAACTACAAAAATACAGCTCAGAAATTTTGTAACATATGCAACATATGAATTAATAAAAACAAATTAAAGTACGTAAGTAACAGCAATATCCAAACTACACGTACAACATTACTGTATAAGAAAAACATCATCCAAAAATATCAGAGGGATTACAATACTATGCCACTTAAATGAAATGCTGAAATACTGTAACTATGCTGCAACAAAGTTCACTTAATATATAATAAAAAATTACTAGGAAATGGATGTTGCCATGTGAGATCCTAAGGAAAAAAGGGTTCATTATTATTAATAAAAGTACATTAGGAATTGATGAAATTTACATAAACTAATAAAATGAGGCCTGAGGTACCTGGTCTTCAGTGATACTGGATAGTGATATTTCCTATTTCCTGCCAAACACACGACAAAACTACAATGTTGCTACAACGTTCAAAGAAGCTTTAACACCTAACAATTGTAACAACCTATATATAGCAAGTTGTAACTTGTAACAACATTCTAATACGTCATAAAGACATATTCATCAATGGCAGACATGACAAGCTCTAAATGTAGAGAGCTCATATGGCCATTGCTCCCTGCACCTCTCTGAGGGGGCCAGGTTCTGGCTTGTGGCCCCCAGTAGGCACTAAACTGATGGCACTAAACTAATATGGCACATGTCAGTTTGATAGCTTCAGAAAGCCTCGGAGCTCACCCAGAAAATGGCATTTTATTACATTCAAAGCAGTTTTTTTGTTTTGGTTGTTTGTGTATACTGTCATCTTGCATTGTTTGGCCTTGGCGGAGCCACCGCTGTTGGCATTCAGTATTAATGTTTTATCAACCCCATTTCATAAGTTGTCTCAGGATTTTTTCACCTAAGGTCTACTCATGCTCCTCCTGAGCTGTCATGATATCTGGACAAGATTGTATTTTTTTCCTTGGTTGTCTGTTGTCCCTTTGGTCAGGGACAGGTCAGGGATTGTTTCTTCAAGATTTTTAACTTTCCAATTTGATCCTAAGGATCATATTCATTTGTAGCCCTCTCCTTCCTTTCAGGCCACAAATGAGTCAGCTGATTTCTTGGGGGGTCCTTTGGTAGCTAATGTTTGATTGCTTTGGCTGAGGGTGCTCCTAATAATATGTTAGGTTGTAGCTGTTCACATTTCCCTTCAACACCACTACTGGTGAACAGAGGATGCTGTTTGTGGATCCATTGTCCCTGATTCTTTCTACCAGTGCTCAAATATCTTAGATTGTTTGCAGTGTCCTCAACTGAACCACCTAGCAGTCTACTTTAGGATCCTGTATTGTTTGTAAGTTTGTGGTTCTCCTCACAAATTTTGTATAATGTCTTGGGGAACTATTTCGGTTCTGGATTTGATGGTCCAACAGAGTGCTGACAACTCGTTCCTTACTGAATGTTTTTGGCACATGCCACACTTGGGTGGCTTTGGAGTGCATAACTCATTGCTAACTCCATTTTTTCTGAGGAGTTACTTTGTACACCTCTTGTCTGTCCCTGGTGATTTCCCCCTTTTACTTTTTCTCCACGGTGACATAACAAGAAGGAACCACCAATAAGAGCCATCACAGAAGACCAGCACTGAATGAAATTCATAATAATATTCATTTTGTCAGAAGACAGGCAGCCTGTGTATACCGTATATAAATGTCAGGTTCATATCGAGGTCATCCCCCAAGGTTGAACTACTGACCCTCCCCAGGATCCAACCCAACACACTAACTCCTGGGTACTTATTTGCTGCTAGGTGAACAGAAGCATTAGGCGACATGAAACACACCCGATCATTTCTGCCCCACCCAGGATTCGTACCCAGAATTCCTGATTGTGAGTTGAGAATGGATCCGACTGTGCTACCAGAACCCTAATAATGACACTTAAGAAATGCCTCTTTCTTGGTGGTTTCTTGGGACCCTCTCTTGCCAAAGTCAGGGACTTCAGTTTTCCATTTTCCTAACTGTATGACTGAGGGGGGGGGGCAAGATGTGGATTCAAGGAGGAAGGTGTATGCAATACCTGGTTGTGTGCAGGTGGAACTAACATGAGAATTGCTTCACCAGCGAGAGGCCCATGAGTCTTGGGGACTTTGTCGTACAGAACTGCTTCCTTTGGTTTGTTTACCTCACTGTCATCTGTTTTCATTTGTCCAACTTTTTGGTGGTCTTTTCTTGGCTATGGTGATTTACAATCCCCCGTGTTCCCTTGCTCCTCTCTAGAGGGAGCCAGGTTTTGGCCTCTGGTCCCTGGTAGGCTTATTAAGGTCAAGGTCCTGGTGTGGAATGAATTGACTGGAGTTTGCTAGGCAACAAGCACCAAGATGCCATCAAGGACACACCAGAAAATGTCATTTCATTATATTCAAAGCTGGGTATTTTCTTAGTAAATGTCTTTAATGCCTATTCACTTAAATATTTCAAAACCACTAAATAAGGTCATGAAGGAAGCATCATTAATTTATAGGAAATATTCTGTACAATGTAATAAAGACCAGGTACCTTTATTTACTTTAAATGACTATGAACTAATTGCTATTCATTCACATAACTGCCCAGTATTCTAGAAATATAGTACTGTATAATGAAACTAAATATTTTGACACATATTCCCTTAAAATGATTTTAGGATTGTGCTAATCTTTGGCCTATCTTTTCTGAATATAATAATAATAACAAACCTTCCACTTACAAATGAAACAAAATAAAATACAGTACAAACATATACTGTAGATAGAAAATAAAGAAAAACTAACCATGTACATAGACAGGGCAACTGGCAGGTAAAAAGAATAGTAAGCCGTCTTGTATTTCACAATAGAATTGTAACGCTCCATGGTGAATTGGCTAAGATTTGGTCTTTTTCCTGCTGGGCATGACAAAAGGTCCAATGCTTGTCCCAAAGATGTTTTCAATGTCATCTGCAAAAAAAAAAAAAAAACAGGGTTGAATGTAATGAAACTCCATTTTCTGGGTGAGACCCGGAAGCTCCCCAGAACTATACCGGGCTGATGTGTATACAGGGGTACCTCGGTTTAAGAGTTTAATCCATTCCTGGAGACAGCCCGTAACCCGAAAACTCATAAACCGAAGCTAATTTCCCCATAAGAAATAATTGGAAAAGAACGAATCTGTTCCTGACTACCCAAAAACTCCATTTCAAACTAAATTTTATACCTAATTCATCCAAATCTACATTACAAAAGTATGTTCAAGTTATTACTTACCCTTGCTGATGACTGCTGTTGGCATATGAAAGATGGTGAGGAGGGGGAGGAGGAGAGGTGTTACTGTTTGGAGGGGGAATCCTCTTCCATTATAACATCAGGCTGTGAAGATTTCTCTGGAGTGCACACTCTGGCACATTTTGCCTGCATACCACTAGGTCCTGGTTGTGGCTCACTGCTTGATTTTCTCACATTTCTCACATGGAAACGTTCCATTGAAGATTGTATTTCCCTTCTTTGCAACACTTGTCTGTAGTGAGGCATCACATTGTCATTAAAAAGATCAATGCAACGGCCCACTACAGCTTTATCTGGGTGATTCTTTTCAGCAAAACTTTGCAGTCCTTCCCATACTGCACACATTTTCTTAATTAATGAGGAAGGGACATTCTCTACTGCCTCCTCTTCCTCCCCTGAAGATTTGTTGTACTGACTAGCTAGTTCAATAATGCGAGTACCATTTTCATGCTTCCAAATAATCTCCTGTTTTTCCTCTGTTGTCATCCTCACATGCGATTTCTTGCCTTGAACCTTACCACTGGCTTTCTTGGGACCCATGGCGAGATATATAATAACAACTTTTATGCTCAAATGGCCAAAAATCCGACAAAAAAATGTAAACCCTTGTGAGGAATTCAGGCGGGATAGTCACTGGACGCAAAACACTGGTAACCTGAGGCGTGATCGTCATGCCACTACGAGCTAGGTCAGCCCGTACGCATATCAACAAACTCGTTACCCGATGCAAATTTTCCTACCAAATCGGGCTCGTGACCCGAAAAACTTGTAAACAGGGACGCTCATAATTTGGAGTTCCACTGTATATTAGACCGTGGCAACAGTCAATCGAAGGAGTTCTAAGCCTACCGGGGACCAGACCTGGCCCCCTCCAGAGAGGCACAAGGAGCAATGGCCTAAAGACACCCCCTGTGTAACTGGAAGCAGTCTTTGTCTGCCATCTACCAGGTCAGGCACCCAGAAAGGTAGGAATCTCAAAACAAATTACTACTGGTCAAAATTTGCAAACAAAAAGCCGAACTAGCAAACAGAACTCCCCACTTAAAAACAAAGTAACAAACATGACGTCACCACAACCGCCGCTCATCCATCTGCGCAACCCCTCTCCCTGGGAGGGGGACGGGGGTCCCAGACCTCCACGCCGGCAACTTTCCTCAGTTCAGAGGCCGAGTATCAAAAACGCAAAAAACTGCCAACCGAAGAGAGGGAGGGATGCCGAGGAGCCTCCGGGTCTTACCCACAAATGGCGTTTCATTACAGTACACTCAACGCTGGTTTTCTTTGTAGAGCCCCTTCAGCTCCCTGGAGCTACCTAACCAAAGATATGAAGAAAAGGGACTCACCCGGGAGGCGGTTGTCACTCGCTCCTTAACACTTTCGCGCGCCGGGAGTTAACTGAATACTATCTGGAAGATTTACCGTTCGTTTCGGACGACCGCGCGGCGACACTAAAATGTTTATAATCTTTTCGGTCTGCTCACCTTAATATTCCATGTATATATTTAAATTTGGTATCAATTTGTTCGCAAGAGAATGCTCTAGAGGAACATATATGTAAAATTTCACCAAACCCGACATGAGACCCGCACCAAATAAAACACTATGGCAATCGTTAGCTGTGAGCGTCAAACCGCGCTGAAATGTTTATGATCTTTTCATGTTTGTCAATCCCAGAATTGTGCTACGTCGTTAATTTTGGTATCACTGTGACCGCAATAAAATTCCCTTCACGGACATATGCATATAAATGTAGAATCATGATCGCGGCCCATCTGCAAGAGTGTGGGAAGTGACTGAAGTGTTACCTCTTACGACACACCCGACGGCAGATGGGCGAAACACCTTTTGAAAAGTGGTGTTTCTTTTCACTGTCCTGACCTTAATTTTCGATGTACGTACTTAAATTTTGTACCAATGTGTTCACAATAGAATGTTCTAGAAGAACATATGTATAAAATGTCACACAAGGATGCGTTTGACCGGCACCAAATAAAGAAACTTCGTCGATTACACTCGTCGGGTCAATATTTTACAATAGTTTTACCACGAAGATACAAGCGAACTCCGTTTCCCAAATAGGCTATGTGACTATTAGAGAAAACAAAAATTTAATGGCAAACATGCTTAAATTATCCCCAAGTCGATCGGATAAGAATTGGATTTTATAGAAATATTTTTTTCAATGCACCTCTTGAGGTGCATTCAAGGAAAAAATATGTGTCCTGCTCAAGTGACATATGGGTGCTAAATTGTGCGCAATCTAAAGGCGCTCATTTTAAAACCACTACCAGATTGATCTGATAAAATTTAAGTTTTTAACAAATATTTTAATGAGTGACTCAGCGCCGCGTCGTCGGAGAGGAATCGGGAGAAAAATGAGTGACGAGAGGTTCAGTCGTTAACGTGTCAAAGTGTTAACTCAAAGTCGAGACAACAGGCCGCAACCTGCGACCGAAGGCTATACACGCCCGAGAAAGACTAGGAACATTAAAAAGGTAATGTGCAGCCAGGACCCTGTTTGTCCTCCAGTAGCCCTGTGCTCAAAAGAAAGGCCAGGACATTACCAAAACAGCATCCAAATGCTGAACTTACGAACGGCGTGGGCACGGGGAAAGACCACAGGCTGGCTGGACCAAATATTCCTGCGGACAACCTGGGAGACCCCACGCCCTGGAATAGGGAAGAAGGGGAAACTGGGTCAACCCAAAGCACGTCCTCTGCCACAGAGGCCATAATGCGCAAATAATAGCGAAGAGTCACAAATACACACAAAATATGATGCACCCCCCCCTACCAAACCAACCAAGCATCAACAAACCAAAGACCCCTCTGGAAAGCAGCAGACTCATTTTTCGCCAGAAAAGAAGGGTACAGCTGCAAACAAAGAAAAGACCACCAGGACTGAAAGAGCAGAAACCCCTGAGCTGGAGGAGAGCATGAAACTCTCCGACCCGACCCCCAAAGGCCATAGCCAACAAGAAAAAGAGCCGTAGAAAACAGTCCTGAACCGAAGGGGCCACCCCAAACCGAGAAGGGAGCAGAGAGCACCCGGTGCAACGACCAGGACATATCAGGTGGCGCATGAGCAGGCTGGAGGTGAACAACGCCCGAGAAAGCGTTCCCAGTCCATTCCGTGGACAGGGGAACGAACCGAGAAAGGCCGTCTGCCAAGACGTTAGACACCCCTCGAACGTGAATTGCCAAGAAAGCCAAACCCATAAACTTAACATTGAACCCTCTCGGTTCAGACAATGAACCATCGGGAAGCAGTCCGAATGGAGCTGGATCGTCGATCCGCTAGCGATACAAACCCTGCGAAGTGCAAACCAAACCACCTCGAACTCCCGCACCATGCTGTCGGCCCGACGGAAGGACGAACCCCAACACCCCTGGCTGGCCTGGTGAGCACTGGTCACAAAGCCCCAGTCAAGAGACAATGCGTCTGTGAACACATCGAGGGAGGGCTTGGGTAAGCGGATGGAACTGAACCCCGAAAAACCCGAAGAGGAAGCCAGTGACGCAGCAACTGATGCAAGGCCCCCGGGGATCGAACCCAGCAATCACAAGAGAGGTGGAAGGGATGTCCTGGAAGGAACCTGAACAAGCGACGCAGCTAAACTCGACCCGGCGGGTAGACCAACATCGCAAAGTTCAGACTCCCGCACAGACTCTCGAGCAACGGCCGGGTGACCCAGAAGTCTTCAGAAAATAGCCAAGGTGGGACCGCAGGCGAAGGAGAGACTCCGAAGAGAGAGACAAGGAAGCGGTCCGAGAGTTCCAAACGAGACCCAGCCAAGTCCAAACCTGGAAGGGGACCAGATGGGACTTCCTCCAGTTCACCTCGAACCCGAACCTGGCGAGCTGGGAATGAACCAAACTCCTAGCTAGCAGACATGTAGACCGGCTGAGAGCCCAGACCAGCCAGTCGTCGAGGTAGGCCAACACCCGAACACCTAAAAGATGCAGACGGGCCACCATGACCCACATATGGCATGTGAAAACGCAAGATGACAGTTTCAACCCGAACAGGAGACAACAAAAGCGGTAACTCCAATGCCCCCACAACAAAACTGAGCCAGTCCCTGAACCCCAGATGTATCGGGATGTGCCAATATGTGTCCCGAAGGTCCAGGGACACCATCCAAGCGCCCGGCTCCAACAAAAGCCAGACCTGGGACAATGTAGTCATCTGAAAAGAGGGGCAATGAATCCAGGGGTTCAGACAGGACAAGTCCAGAATGAACCTCAAGTCCGCACAGTCCTGTTTCGGGGCTGGAAACAGGCGGGAGACCCACCTGAGGGATGTCATCGTTTCGACCACGCCCAAGCGAACCCACTCCAAGATGACCTGATAGAGCACAGGGAAAGAGGCCAGCCCCATCAGCTCCGAGCTCCCCGAAGGAGAAGGAGCCACCCAACGCCACCGCAGACCGTCGGAGACAACCGAAAAGCCCACAAATCGTGAGACCAGGCGTGAACGAACATAGCAAGCCTCCCTCCATTGTCCCGTCAATGGGACGAACCACGAAAAGACCAGTGCCCCTTATGAGAACTCGAGCCCGCACAGAGCGAACACTGCACTGAACAGACGAAGGCGGTTCCGAAGGAGGCACCGGCCCTGAAACTGGCACCAGTGGCCTACCCCGACAAGCAGAACCCCGAGCCCTGGCACGACCCCTCCGGGGCCCGCGGAGAACCAATAAATCAGACATGGGATGACAACTAGCCGAAGCCGCTTGCAGATAATG